CTAACGAGGCCTGCCCACTCTGCGGCCATGCCAGAATGGATGGTGACCACCTGCTTCAATGCACTGGGATCGTTGAATACCCGGCTGATGACATCGTGAGTCAGTATTGGGAAGCTCGGCGTCAAATGGTCAAGAAGCCAAGCACGGCCGTTGGATAAATAACTTTCTAATACTTTACACTGTATGGTAATATATATCTCATGTAGCAGGATGTAAATGACGCAGTACTTTCATCGAAAGGTCGAAAAATAAAAATTTTTTCGAGTCAGGATTCAAACAGGTTGCCAAACATCTATTAGTTAGTTTTTCAAACTTTCCAATTAACTGATGGTTGATAATACCCTAATAGTATAGTTAGATGTTGAATAAAAAGCCTGTGAACTCTAACTGCGCATATTTTTTGTGCAGTTTCTTATTGTAGAATTTCCAAAGTATACGTGAAAAAAATTTGTATTTTGTTTGGACCTCGATATAACGAATAACCCCGATTTAACGAACAAGATGTTTGGCCCCAATGAATTCATTAAATCAGGGTTCAACTGTATTTCCTGAAAGTTTTGAATGTCATCACTACGCTATCAAAAAGTATAATGGATGAATCAATGAATTAAAGTTTTTAGAGTATTAAAAACGAAGTTGTTGATTAAGGCATCCGACTATGTTCGGAACCGTGATTTTGCAAAATCGTATAAATGGATAACATTTATGATATTTAGTGTCACTTAGATTAGAAAAGGTATATAAAATTGTTTTAAGAATAGTTTTACAATAAAAAATTATTTAAGCACAATATTTGGACAAAAAATGAACATAGAATGACCCATTTTCAAAATATTCTCCTTTTGTGAAAAATGCTTCTATTATAATAATATTTTGCCTGTATATAGCTCATACCTCTGTACAGAGGCTCCATTTGAATTTTTGAAATATAAAAATTAGAAGTGGAATTATCCATGTTTTACGACAACAGAAATTAGAAATTTTAAGAAAAATTATTATTAATTATTAAAATTATTATTATTAAAATTATTGCAATGGGTTGTAAATCTGAAAAAAATAATGTGAATTTAAAAAAAAAAAAGCTCAGATTTTTGGAGAAGTATTTATATAAGCAAAACATTATTATTTTAGAAGCATTTTTCACAAAAAGAGAACATTTTGAAGAAAGGTTATTCTGAGTTAATATTTCGCCAAAATATTGTATTTAAATAATTTTTTTATCAAAATGTCCTTAAAACAGTTTTATACATGTATTCTCTTTATCTCTAATCTAAGTGACACTAAATATCATGAAAATCATCCATTTATGCGCTTTTTTAAAATCACGGTTCCGAACGTAGTCGGATACCTTAAGAATTTAATAGTGGCATATATCGAAGCGTACAAATTAAAAATGGATAAATTTTTTTTTTACTTAAAAAAAAGTTGAGGTGTAGATTATATTATAATTAAGTTTAGAAATTCAAAGAAATATAAAAAAAACGGTTCGATTTATTTTTGTTGCGAAAAATGTGTGTTCAGAGCTTTCGTTCACAATTACTCGTACATTTAAAACATCAAGTGTCTTTGGAAATTACTTATTTCAAGAGACATCAC